GGGGGGGGGAAGGGGAGGACAGGGACAGTCTCAGATTTGCACAACAGACAGAAGCTCCTTAATCTGACAGGGTTTCCCCCTGTTGAGTGAAGTCGCCACGCAAATATCTGGTCAAGAGATTTACTCCCCCTCACCTTTTTACTGATTGTAGGGGGCAGGGCAGGAACTGCTTCCACATCTACAAGAAAATAAAGCAAGGAACTCTGCTTCTGATGGGGTTGTAGGATAAGAGCATTTAGCACTTAACTGGAAAAATTCCTCATCTCGTATTTCTTCAGATAGTAGAATTACTGCAATTGAAGTGTCATAAGGACCAATTTTCACTTCCTCCTCATACAGATACCACATGATACTGCAATGTGCTTGGCCACTCCAGTACAGTTAATAACTAGTTGTGAAAAGTGTCGTCGTCTTCACAAAGCACTTAATTCTCATTTTACAGACAAGTAAAACTAAGGCACAAAGCAGCTTTGGTATTTCCTCAAGATTATCATGTAGATCAACAGCAGAACCAAGAATAGCTGTGATGCTTCCCCAATGACTAGATGAAGACACTAGACTTTTACACTTCTAATATATTTTAAACTCAAAGATTTTCCTTCACAGCAAGCCAAATTTTCAGCTAGTATAAGATGGCAAGCTTCAATACAGAAACCTGTCCCATAAAGCTTTATTATTTTTCCCCAGTTAGGCTACTTTCAGCTACCTACCTAACTTTGGCACCCATGCCAAACTGTCAGAGGTATAGCGATCATAATTTCATTACCTAGTTGTTCTCATTATTAAAAAAAGTAATTCGTTAAAGATTTTAAATGAAGACTTAATACTCGTTTTTCCAGCCTCATCATTGCTAAATAATACGAATGATTATCCTTTTTCTGTTTACAACACTTTTACACAAAAACAGAAGTTTTGCCTCATCTAATGTATGTTTACAGACATGCCACAAATCTAACAGTAAACAAATTCCCACCCAACTGAAATTCAAAGAGTGACATTCAAACAGCTGTTTCTGTGAATGAATGGACCAAATACAAGTAAGTGTACAGGTTATGGGTAGAAAAGAGCACCTATACGACTGTAGGACTACACTATCAGCCACACTGAAAAACATCTTGCAGGCAGTATACACAGGAAAAAACTCACAGCCCGGAATGAAGCTCCTCAGGACATAACTTCAGCCACTTATTGTAAAACTGGTGTTTCTGCTTTTTGTGCCCTTTCCAGGTAGAACTTACTCAAAGGCATGAGGCCAATGCATGAGGTACAGGTCCAGGTAATCCAGTTTCAAATCTCCAAGTGTCTTCCTTAGCGCTGGTTCTACGTCTTCTGGGTGGTGCTTGGTATTCCACAGCTTTGATGTTACAAACAGGTCCTCTCTTTTAATAACCTTTAAGAAAGGGAGGAGAGCATAATTTACTGGAGGAAGTTCAGAAAGGGAATTGTAGCAATACCCCAACTAACTTTAAAACAAACGGAAAAATTTAATTAAAAAAAAAAAAAAAGAGCACATGGAACCTATAAATTAAACCTTTCAAAAATATACTGGGTAGAGAAGAGCAAGATAAATACACACTTACGCTGACAAGTCCTAAATTAGACCAAATACTTCGCAATTTATTAGAAGATTTGAAATACAAAACAATCCCCTACACACACACACTCTTCTCCAAACTTTCCAATTCAAGGATTAAGGACACTGCTAAGTGCGATGTGGCCAAAAGAACGATTACTCACTTTATTCATATGTAAATTTTGTAATTTCTATTTAACAATTCACATATTCTAGGCACAACCAGCTAACTTACTAGACTCATCACATGTTATAAACCAAGAATGTTTCTCATGGACAGAGTGTGGGAAAATAAACAGAAGCAGTTTCCTCAAACCTCTGCACTTCAGTTTTTAGGTTCTGGGAGGAACACACTAAGAATTGAGTGCCCTGTACCCTGTATTGGAAGGGTGAGACGCAGAAATGAAACAAATGGAAAGCTGGTTAACTAGGAAGTATAAAGCACAAAAGGGAGATCATATTTGGCAAGCACAGAACACCATCAGAGGGCACTTCTCACTGACTTACGCAGGCCTAAGTTTCACTCAAGTCTACACTTTGTAGAAGCTAGAATGATTAATTGTTTAGTTTCTCTCTTCCAACCATTCAGTTATTTGTGTGTTTCACACACGACTGTTTCATTCAAATAGAGATATGTTTTAAAAATTCTAGTTTTAAGTTAGCTAGCTAATAGGAACTGAGTAAAAGTCCCATGTTAGTTACCACATCTAGTAGGAAGGAATCCCTGGGGCAAGCTGAAAACAGCCTCTCTCAAACTAATCGCATAACAAAGAGATTGCCCTAAAGACAAGGCAAGAGCAGCAGGAAAGCAGAACATAAGAACTTTCTTTCCAGGAGCTCCGAGGCTATATATGTAATCTTTCTGGCCCCTCAGGCCAACAAGAGCAAGGGGATGAATTTAAGATCCCATCTCAGGTCATCCATAGGAATGCCTGTCACGTTACTTTATATTTAGGCCATGGACTCTCACTGCAAGCCCTAGAGTCATAGTTACCAAACCTTCAAATGCAATCACTGTTTTGTTCTTTTTTTTTTTTTTTTCAAAGCACATATTTACTCACTCATATTTGTTCTATAACCAAACAAACCCACCGTCACTGAATTTGCTATGGCTTCTCACCATTGCATGCTATTCTAGACTGGCAAATTAGAGTAACTTTTCATATAAACCATGGCAAATATTTTCCATTTTAAGTAGTGATTCTGGGAACCTCCAATTTTTTGAACACCCAAATTGGGATACTTTGAGGAGGAGGCAGGGAAATTAAGAGGCATTTTCTGTAGTTTCCATAGAAATATTGCTGACAATCTTTTCTCCTCCTGACAGCCAGGATGGTTATAGAGGAGACAAAGCCCTCTTTCATACCTGCTCCTGATTAATAACAAACATCTGGGCTAGACCAGGAAGAAAAGCCGCAAATGTTAACTTTACAGTCTCCTGTCAGGTCACAGTTGTAAATTCTGACAGTCAGCATGGTGGTTCTTGTGGTTTTACCTTGTTGGGCCCAAGGCACTCCTGGAAAGCCTCACCAATCTCCACTTCATTGCTGTAAGCTGCTGCGCAATCGATGTGGCGATAACCCACACTCAGCGCATATTTCACTGCTTCTTTCACCTGTAATCAGAAACAGATTATCCAATGCAATCAGTGAAAAGGGATACGACTGGAAGGAAAAAAAAGTTAGGGCCTTAATGAGGAACACCCCCAAAGCACAGATGTCCGTAAGGTCAGAGGCTCCAACAGAGCAGGATACAGTCCTCTGTGGCACAGCCTTTAGGAGTGAAGAGCTAATTGCTAGCAGGCACTCCAAGAGTAACAAGAAAACAGACCACGCGCACACAGGCCAAGTATGCAAGAACTCACCAGACAGAATAGGGATTCATTCTTAACTATGGTTGTCACGCTTTTCTTAAATATAAAATGAGCTTTAAGACACAGTTTTCAAAGAAATCATGGCTTAGGAAGACAAGCTTTCTGGAACTAACAGACCGATCAATCAATGTCAGTCAAGCCTGGAAGACATCTCCTGTCTCCCAGTAAAGGAAGAGCCTGGTTTCTAATTCCAGAATTGCCGGACTTTAGGTTTGGTGCAACTGCTAACACTTAGTTTCTAAGATAGTGCTATTTTATGACACTTTTTCCTTCATGTCTCATTTTCACTGACTGCACAACAAGGAAAGTCACTACCCTGCTGAATATTAACCCATGGCCTCCGGGGGATCTCCTGATGAGGTATTTTGCTTTCCACATTACTGACAATTAAGGTGTTGCCAACGGCAACAAGTCCCTTGCAAGAATCAAGAATTACTACAGATTTCAGTGTTGTCATCATCTTCCGTTAGGTTGATGAGCATTAAGTAAAATCTCTTTAACTTCCAGTGGACAGTAAGCACATGTTCTCTTTTTCATCTAACCATCTGAAGTGCTACAGTAAGGGTACATCTCATCTGTACAGGGATTACCAGACATTGCTCTTCACTGACTTGTCTCTCAAGACTGTGGGAGATTATAAATTATTTTGTGTGTAAGGCTTGATGTAATAGGGCACTAATGTTTTTACAGGGATCTCTTGTCAAGAGATTAAAAAATGTGTCCACAAAGGCTAGAGAGGGTTTGATTTCTTTCAACTTAATCGAAGTATGACCATTTTCAATTTTAAAGCTGACAAAGTTATTAACAGCAATTAAAGATGTGTATAGTCCTGCTTTCAGACGCTACAGAAAAGGGGGAATCAAATGTGAAAAAGATCTCTCTTCTACTGGTGGATTTCATTTTTCTTGTCAAGAACTGCGGTAAAGGCAGACACAGGATATTCTGACAGCATTCTTTGGCATCTTGAGAGGGAAACTGGAATGTAGACCAGTTTCCCTTAGCCAGAATGACAAAGCACTTCTGTTAAAGCAGTGAAGTACGCTCTTCCCTTCTCTAGCAGAATGGTATTTACAGTCCTTGTTTCACTTTGACAAAGACATTCCTCAGAAGGTCACTACAAAGTCAAGGTCGTGGTAATCACTTGAGACATATTAAAGGCTATTAAGACTCAATATCCACCCTCCAAAAAGGTGAGAGTTGTCGAGCTGAAGCAGAAATGAAAGGAAAAACAGCAGTGTTCTTTGCCTGTACTAATTCCCCCATTTCCTCTGTCAGGATAACAACTTTTTTTAATCCAAGCAGGCATAAAATTTGCCATAAAATGAAAGTAGGCATCACTCGCAGAAAACTATGAATAAGGTACTTCAAACACGTTTCCATAAAGTGATAAATAGGAGGCCGTATTTCTGATCAGCACGTTTTGATAAATTTCTAGAACTGAAGAACTGGGACTGGTCATTTAAAGCAGGTTTAGATTTGGGCAAAATCCTTCTTTGTCTAAACTACTCTCAGCCTACTAAGACATTCCAATGTGAACTGAGAGTTCCTGTTCCACACAAAAGGCAAACAATCAAGAGAAGATGTGCAAAAAAAGCATTTATGGAGGGGGGAAAAAAACCCTAATAACAGATAAATGTAAATTTAAGAAGAGTACTTTGTTTTAACACAAAGTTTAGTATTTTTGAGATTATGTTCAGACAGGCACATGCATTTCCTAGGGGGTAGAGAAAAAAACAAAAAGACAACAGAAGCAGTTGGAGATTCATATGCCTCTAGATATCTGGTATTGCGAAGTACCACTAGCCAAAGGATCCTTCAAACTTTCCATATATTCTTTAATTTAGCCTGTCAGTACTGCTGTGGAAGGAACAATTACTGGGTTCATTTTGCATTAGGCAAGTCGAGTCACAGAGCTTAAGTGTGACTCACCAACCTAATATCATGTAACCACAGAAAGTAGGTCTGAAAGGATCTTGAGACACTACCTAGTCTTTCCTCATGCCCCACAGTAGGGCCAACCAAGTCTAAACCACTCCTACACACATTTATCAAAACCCTTCTTGTAAGTGACAGGCAGTCTATTCCAATGCTTAGACATCTCTAAGTTCTAAGCCTTTTAGATGTCTAATCAAGATGGCCCTGATGCCACATCCTACTCCTCCCAGACTGGAAATCCACAGCTTCCCCTTTGCGAGGGCTTTTCACGCATTTAGAAAGCACCAGCACGCCTCCTCTCAAACCTCTCTTGACCACGTAACTGTAGGTGCTTCCAGCTTTCATCACAACTCGCCTTTCCCAAACCTTGCATCACTGTTGCTGCTGTCTCGTCAGACGGTTCATGCTTTTCTTGAAGTGGTTTGCCCCAAAATAGACACAGTATTGCAGCTGAAGCCTTACTCTCCTTCATTGTACGGCAAAGTCCTAGGAACCACACTCCCATTTATACATCCTAGCCAGGGACTTGGCCTTCCTACCAACCCTCTTTTGGTTTTGATGATGGAGGAACATGATATTGCTAACAATCAGTGGCAGATTCAGAAACAGGATCTGTAACTCCCAATTCCCTATAATATCCACTATGAGTTTTCCCATTCTTCAATTTGCCCATCACAAGGTGAAAAACTAACTAGCCATCTTTATACTTCCAAGCAACACAGAGTTCAAGTGACTACGAGCCTCTTCCGCACAGCCCCAAGCCATTATGAACAGGTTTTCACTCTAACAGTTTCAGTCAAAAATACTTGGAAAGCAAAGGCTCCAACAGCCTCCCCTGCTCCCTGCAAAGCTGTCACATTTTAGCAGTCCAAGTACATTTGCTGATGGGAAATAGGAAAAAACCCTATCATCAGTCCACTCGATACTCAGATGCAATATGACCAGAACGCAAGTGTTGCTATATCACTGTTTGTACATAGCTGTGCTAAAAATTGCTGAAAAGGAACTCAGACCACCGCGTAAGTAATGTCGGCTTAGAGCTGGCATTCCCTAAAATAACAAGCTTTGCCCCCTGTCCTTCAGAAGTGGAATTCAACTTCCTCCCTTCATATATACCAGTAGTGGTGAATTTTTGTGCATCTAACAAGGATTCTCCAGATTATTTAGTTCTTGAAAAGTTTGTTAGTCTCCCTCACAGCTGCAATCTTGTCACAAGACACCCGGTCCGACTGGTTTTCTGAGGTACACATTTCCTCTTCAGCTTCCCTGAAGTTTCGCACAGACAAACACAACTCCTCTCAGCCCCACGTCTCCCTTCCCCCAGAATCAGCCTCTGCCACAGCAGGATAGACTGTTCATCTGGTGGGCATCAATCCTCCAAGTTGAAAGCATGGCTACTTGAGAGAAGAGAACAAAGCATTAAAGGATTATAGATAATGAAGCTCCAATATTTAAAAAACCCAAACATGCTACTGATATTCTTGATGCTCCTGTCTGAACGGACTTCTCTTTGAACTCATTCATGCTGCCATTTCATAAGCTTCTGTATCGTGTTCCCTTCTGTTCAACAGCCCTCCATCATGTTCCCATGGTTACAAGTAAAACAAATTTCTCTTCTAGCATTTGATCATGTAAGACAGAAAACATCCCATTATTTTAAGTTCATCTTCCAATGTGGATTTAGATTTGATAATTTCCCCCCTCTATTCTTACCGTCTAAGAAACTTAGGGCTGCAATGACACCTTTGTACCGGACTGCTAAGATCTGGTTACAAGGACAAGGCTTGTTTAGGATCAGGAATAGTAACAGCAATAATAAAGTAATTAATCAAGAGAGTAAGGTCAAGACTGAAAAACAGCTTGGCGAGGAAAATAATTACAATCTGCAGAATATTTACCTGAAATAATTTAGAAGCCACCCACTTCCACTCTTGCTTTTTAACACAGCCATTGCACAACACAGCTTTCAAGAAACAGCTTCTACTTGGGAAACAACTAGATTAAATACGATCAGTTATTATTCTTCTCCTTCTCTAGGTTCTTGGCCCTTTGTCTTTAACTCTCCCTGAAGTACATCATGTCCTTTTAAGGGTAAATCATTTGGACACTCTACCAAATTGTCGGTATGCTTCCGAATTTGACAAATCTCCATTTAAAAAATGAAAATGATGCAAACAATTTTGAAGAGTGATAAATATAAATTTCTTTATTCCATAGAAAAGGAACAGCAGCAACTTTGGTAACTCTCGTCATTTTCACGGCACTTTCTAGATGATGTCTTCAACACATTCTAGGAGCAGATCTTTGAAGACAGTAAATATTCCACAGAAGTGACTCCCGTTGACTTCCATGGTACCCCAGAGATCTCGGGATCCCATGTGGGGTTCAGCTGCCAGAAGTGCTGCTTACTATGGCAAAATTCATCTGAACTGGGTTTAAATTATGCACAAGCAGTATCTTTCCAGGCTGTTTCGTAAGACCACACTTTTCTCAAAAGAGTTCGTGCACAAAATAAACAATGCCTTCATATTTTGTTTGTTTAGTTTCAGGCATTTGTTCTAGCACAATGCACATTGAACTGTTTTAGGTGCACATAAATTCATCCATTAAGTTCCTGCACATTAATAAACTTCATTCAGCTGTCAGTCGATATTTTCAACGACAGAGCTGAACATTCATCCTTGTCCTCATTTAAGAGGCTGACTGAGTTCTCACATCAAACTCAGCTTCCACATTAGCACAGCTTCTGTTCCCAACAGACCCACTGTCCTGACAGCTGTTTGGACAGGAAGCCCAACGATAAAATGGCTCTGAATAGATTTAATTTTTATAGCTTGTTTCCCAACTTTTCCTTCAGCTGGCATGAGAGAATAGCACAGTATCTTGAGAAGGGTTTTAACTTTCCCTCTCAGTCACAAGCACAATGTCATCTGACATACTCCAAAAACCATCATGAAGCTAACGCAAGAGCAGCAGCAAGACATACAGCATTTACAGCACAGACGTGCAATGGTACACGTAATACAAAAGGCATTATAAACAATGACACGAGCTAAGAATTCCACCAAGCAGTGGACATTGCCTTTCTTGGCATGAATGTTCAACCTCTTCCCCCAGGAATTTATCTTTTAACTAAATGAAACGGAAAGGAAAAGACGGACAAGTGGGGACAAGTACTACAATAGGAGGCACAGTCCACACCATGCCAACATTCCCACAGACAGTTTGTAGTAATACACAGAATCGTTTCCAAGTGTGATGCTTGCCAACTCATTGCATTTAGAAGCACAGTGAATGTCCAATGACACGTTAGTCTTCCTAGTCTAAAAGCAGGATGACCCAAGCAAGTTCTTTGTTTTTCTGCTAAACATAGGCTGACTGCTGGGACAGGACTTATTACAAGAACAACTAGAATTCTCGCCTCCCAGAATAATGCTTTCAGCTGAGCCATCAGACCAAGCCAGAGGGATGTCTGGTCAAACTGGCAGTCTGAGGATTTACCAGTGGAAGAGTCAGGCACCATATTATAGCTACAGCATTTTCCCTGTCTCACCACACTCATTGGTCTCTTTCTGGATTCCTCTCCCAGAGCACCACTGCCCGAGGCCTGGGTTAACAAGTCTTCAGGGAACTGCTGTTGCTTTTGTGCCTTCAGGCCGTAGTCATGCAAATACATACACACATTCCACTGACTTCACAGACCTAAGACTAAAACCACTCAAGCAAAGGATCCAGGCCTCTGATGTAGGAGGTGCACAAAACACAAATACTAGTTGAGAGCACAGTATTGTATTGTTCTGTGCTTACTTGGCCACGTTCACTTTTCCAAGTTCCCAGTCCTATGAGAGGCATCTTCTGTCCAGTGTGGAGCGCAACGAAGTCACATGCCGTAGACATTTTTGCCTAAAGAAGAACAAGAACAAACTGAGTTTTACAGTAATTCAGTAAGTTGCACCAACTTACGTTTTCTATGCAAAAATAAATAAGTAAAACCATAGAGGTCCTCATGATGCCTGAATAAAGATGAAGTAGGTTCTTTACAGTTTTTACTGGTATAAAGGAGATGAATAGCTACCCTGGACAGACTAGAAAAGGAGCACTTTTTCTCGTCTTACTTCTTCCTCTCTTTTCTCCTTTACAATGGACAGGTTTAAGATTTCTCAGAGTTGAGAAGTACAAAAAGAAGCATCCTGCAATAACATACAGTTAACAGAGAAGCTCAGATGAAAACACACTTTTTTTTTTTAATCAGCAGTAAGCATTGATGAGGCAGAAGGGAGCAAGAGACCTCTGTCTGCCCCTAGTGTATGATAACTCTATAGGACTTCTGCACTAAGTCTTTCTCTTTTACCAACTCACTATCAGCTGGCTCAGGAACCAAGCTCCGATTACCACTGCAGTTGGGGATAAACACATTTTGTCAGAAACAGCTGGTGCAGGTTACGGTTTGAAGACCTGATACAGGCAGGGTTTTGATTAGGAGTGAATGGTACAGGCATTTATGAAGGCACAGCCCAGAAAAAAACAAAAAATAAAAAAATAATGTTCTGAACAACATCACTGCTGGAGGATCAGTCCCATCTTTTTAAGCCTGGTATGTGCTTTGCCATCCTTGAGTCCCAATTTTCACCAACTCGGAGCTGAACTACAGCTCATTATCAAGGCTGTCTGGCCTTGTGAAGAAAAACACAAACATGCTGGCTTCCTTTGCAACAAGCATAATTGTTTATGAATTGTTATATACCTGCAACAGGCAAATGCTACCAAATGAGAAGACTACTTTTTTTTTAAGCACTGAAAACCCCCTCTCCGATGTGAAGTCAGGGCTAGCAGAGAGGCCAAAATGGAGGCACTTTCAAAAGTGGACACTAGGAAATAACTCCTCAGTACACAGATCACATAACGCTGGTACATATATATTCTTTTTTCATCATTTTGACATAGAACTAGAAATAACTGTGTGCCAAGTGAGCTAAAATGCAGTAGGTCCTTACCTATTTAGATGTTTTGAAACCCAAAATTTTGTCTTCCTGCTCTTTTCTGTCTACCTGCTCATTCAGAAACGGACACTTATCTTTTAAAGAGCTGAAAGATTCCTTGTTCCCATACGGTCAAATTCTGCATGTGGACTCTGATGGAAATTCGAGACCAAGAGCTCAACTCTTGCATAAGATGCAATTCAAGTACAAACAGAATGCAACAGATAGCATTGCTATTATAGAAAGTATCACACACCTGATTTAGCACAAATCACAGAGGAGTAGTGTTCGCCTGTTAATAAAGGGAGAAGAAAAAAAAGATTATACAAAGTCATTTGTCACTTTGAGCCTGGGCTTATCTCTCGTGCTTAGTACTGCAATACCCAAGCATTTTCTCTGTGAAATTCAACAGAACAAAGGTCCAGCAGAATCTTCCATTACTTGTTGCTGGCTTTACAGCTGTTGCAAACAGCAATCTGCTCACAGTGGCAAAGCATTTTATCAAAAATAAAAGTTTTACAGTGTGTCCCAACACCCTCACAATCTACATTTCTGGTCAAACTGTTAAAAAGAAACCACATTTAGGATGAGCTCCAAAGCTGGCTAGCTGCTTTCAGCAGAAGCTGAGGAAGTTACTTCCCAAGTTCAGCTGTGTCCAAACTCATTAATGTTATTTGTTTAAAAAAAAAAACAAACAACAAAACCACAGAAAACCAAGAGAGGAAGCATACAATGTTGGCTGAATAGCTGACTCTGTAGGAGGAATGAATGTTTGCAAAGCAGAGCATTCACACAGCATACTATCCCAAAATAGCTCTGCCTTCTCCAGGTTGTTATAATTTTCCTCAGATAATTAAGGCCCAGCTGATCGATGTGTTCACACAGAAAGTTTGTATTTTCAGTTTCTCACTTAGCTTCTCAAGCCATATTTTTGTAGATTCACAGCAGACACCAAACAGCCCACTTGTTTTACGGAGAGACATAACAGGATAGTTGGAGTGACCCTGACCTGAAGGCCATCACACCCCAAGGAGCTGGTGATCCATGTAACAGCTAACCCAAGTAGGTCCAGGCTCATCTTGTGCTGCACTTCACACACAGCGTGGCCTTCAGGCCTGTGCTGTGGGACGCGCGTCCCATGGCTGCAGGATAAGCCCAGCAGCTAGTTGTAATAGAGGAGTCTGCAGGCAGCTCCCACTTGGCACCTGTGATTACACCACTAACGTGTCCTTGCCTTTATCTAAAAAAGCAGGAAGTTCTCATGCGAGTATGCTCTCTGTTTGACAGCAGCGATGATGAATGGAGTTGTTTTCTCATACAAGAATCCCCAACATCACAAGTGACTGAAACAGGGTAACCCTTTCTATGGACAGGGCCTGCACAACATACTGCACGTGAACTGGAGGACATCTCTTCAGTGCTGCACAACTCGGGGTTATCAACACTACGTACTCGATAAAGAAAGAGGGTGGAATTTGAGGTGATACTTTACAGAGTCTGAAGCGGCTTTAACGGACCTTTGGAACAGACCAGCACCTCCTGGTGCAAAGCAGCAGTTAAACACAAGCTAATCGCTCTGAATTTGCGCTGAGATGTATTAACCCCCCATGTTAGCGCTGAAGGCAATCACTGGTGAATCAAACTGTGGGTGTATGTCTGTTTTTTGGGGTATGGAGTCACGGAAGGAAGAATGACAACGACAAGAGTATTTTCTTCTATTTTGAATTTGCATGGCAATTTCGTAGTCAGCTACAGACAACTAGGTGCTTTTTACCCGAATTCAGCTGCCTAAAGCAAGGTGTATTCTCACTCCATGCAACGCAACTAAAGACTTCGGGCTTTTTCGTTCACAGTGGCCTATAACACAAATACGACACAACCACACGCCTTACACAACCCCACTGCGCAATCATCTTCAATGCAACACTTCAGCCCAGAAGACAAAGTACACGTTTAATCAATGACTAGCGCCAGCACGTTTTCCAAGAACCATCTTGCTTCATGCAACACCGTTGGACACTAACATGGCAGAGAGAGCAGAGCCGCAGCCTCTGGAAGAATGGAATCACACCAGAATTGGAAATACTGGAAGAAAACATGCTGATTAATACCTTCCCCTCAGGTCATTCCCCTAACAAGGAGATGCAAGGGAACTGCGGTGTGTGCCAGCCAGCGTTATTTGGTGCATTAAACAGCCGAAAGCCTGTTTTTAGAAGGGGCAAAGACAAAAAATAAGTGTAGAAGAAAACCAATTCTGGACAAGTAAGACACGGGTTTGGCTTACCGACGCACCCCCCCACCAGCAGCGCTGGGAGTGACGAGACGCGGTGCAGCGGCCCGGCTACGAGGGGGCGCGGAGAACCAGGGCAGCGCAAACGACCCCGCGCCGCGCCTCGCAGCTAC